CAGAGCCAATGCCAGCCGGCTCCAAGACAGACCCACCACTGGCCAAGGGCGAGCCAGTCAGCAACGGTAGCAGCACCTCGGGGATAAAGTATTTAAGAAGGGGAAAAAAGTTACTGTGCAAGAGCATTTGCAGCCAAAGAAAGGAGTGAGAGTATGTGAAAGCAACAACTCTGCAGACACCAAGGTCAGTGAAGAAGGAGGGGCAGGAGGTGCTCCAGGCACAGGAGCAGATTCCCCTGCACCAAGACCACGGTGAGGCAGACTGTTCCCCTGCAGCCCATGGAGGCCCACAGTGGAGCAGATCTCCACCTGCAGCCCATGGAGGACACCACGCCGGAGCAGGTGGATGCCCAAAGGAGGCTGTGACCCTGTGGGAAGCCCACGCTGGAGCAGGCTCCTGCCAGGACTTGTGGCCCCGTGGAGCGGAGCCCATGCTGGAGCAGGTTTGCTGGCACGACTTGTGACCCTGCAGGTGACACACGCTGGAGCAGTCTGTTCCTGAGGGACTGCACCCCATGGAAGGGACCTGTGCTGGAGCAGTTCATGGAGAACTGCAGCCCGTAGGAAGGACTTGCACCGGAGAAGTTCGTGGAGGACTGTCTCCCATGAGAGGGACTCCACACTGGAGCAGGGGAAGCGTGTGAGGAGTCCTTCCCCTGAGGAGGAAGGAGCGGCAGACAATGGGTGATGAACTGACCCCAACCCTCATTCCCCAGCCCCCTGTGCCACTGGGGAGGAGGAGGTAGAGAAATTGGGAATAAAGTTAAGCCTGGGAAGAAAGGAGGGGTGGGGGGAAGGTGGTTTTAGATTTGGTTTTATGTCTCATTACTCTTCTCTGATTTGATTTGCAATAAGTTAATTTCCCCAAGCTGAATTTGTTTTGCTCGTGACTGTAACCAGTGAGCGATCTCCCTTGTCCTGATCTCGACCCACAAGCGTCTGGTCTCCCCTGTCCAGCTGAGGAGGGGAGTCAAAGCAGTTTTAGTGGGCATGTGGCACCCAGCCAGGGACAACCCATCACATTCACACATCCAAGTCAGTTAAAATAGACTTAAGGCATTAATAGACTTAGGTGGGCAAAAGCAGTATCTATTGGTGTGGCAACACAAGTAAGACCCTAGTTTTATCCTGCTATGAAGTCATAGCAATGGATACAGATTAACACTGCATATGTGTGCAGATTTCCAAATATAATTTTCCATATGGTTTTGAGACATTTGCTCTCAGCTTACTGCTAATACTCCAATTCAGAAAACTGTTTACTAAAACAGCACTTTAACTGCTTGAAGCTGGAGCTTCATTGAACAATTAAAGGTGCAGTTTAAAATACCACTGAACTTAGTCTCAGATGAGTTCAGTTTTCTATGTATTGGGCACAAACCAACATCACTGAACAGCAGACTAAAATATTACAGAAAACCTGCAGATTACTATGCATCAACAGAACTAAGACTGTTAGTCAACAGTAGAAGATAAAGTGTGGGCATAGTGCATGGAGCAGAACACCAACGCATGTTTTGAGACAGAGCTGTTCTTTTCAGATCAGTGAATCATAAAATATTTTCTGTTACGCAACGCTACATCTAATGAGCTAAAAATAGACAGAGAAATAGCGTGGGAAATATGCAGGACTTGCATTGCAGCTTTTTTCCCCACAGGTTTAACAAGTAGCTGCATAACCTGGAAAAATCTATCCACACTTGGAATTTTGACAGGTAATTCAAAAGCAAAAGTTTTCAGAATTAAAATAAACCACTGCAGAAAAGCACACTACTGAACTTTTCACAGTGCCGCAGTTTTAATACATCCTTGAACTTCCACAGAAATAGTTATTGATGCCTCAGGAGAGCTGGGAGGAGGAGACCCAGACCTCTGCTCCTCGCCAATTAATTTAGTTCTTTCCTCCAAGATGCTGAGATTTGTCCCACAAAGACTTCGTACCACAAAGACCCTAATATTAAGGGTACTGAGACTCCCCTCGCTGTTCAGGGCCTTCTACTGCAGCCTAACTTCTCCCGCAGCCGACAGACCCTCACTTTTGCCATACCCAGTCAGGCTTGGCACAGCTCTTCTCTGACCCTCTCTGGAGGAGAGCGCCGCTGCTCAGAGGAGAGCCCAGCCTGTCACTGGCCCATTGCGTCCCTGCTGCCAGGGCACAAGTGCCGAGCAGCTATAGCGCAGCCTCAGCTCCGCAGGGTGCTGGTGGCACAGTCCAGGAGTCACCTCCAGCACAGCAACATGCAGGAGTCACAAGTGCCTAATCATTTTGGTAGTGACGGCCACTGAACATACAGACTGCAACGCTACACTGATATCCATGACTCATTCTTCATGGGACCTGGTGAAGAGTCACAGTGATGGAGACCAATACCAACGCACCGTAGAGTGCTGAATACCAGCGAGACGCTGAGATGACACAGTGACAGAGATGACCCAATCCAGATCTTCACTTGCAGAACAGACACACGCACAAACAGTAAAAGCCAAGGACACTAGTGAGGTCTCCTGCGTTGTTTTGCTCATTTACTTTGCTGTGCATTCCACAAATAAACAACTTCAGAGAAAACATGTATAACCGTGATCATCCCATACATGTGTTTATTTCCACGGGATTTCTCCTACCTGGAAGTAAGGGCACAGATGACCTTGCTCCACTGCTCAACTACTGCAGGGTGATGTCGCCAGTTGGCCACCATCTCTTTGGCAGTTTTCCAGTAAGGTGGTGTTGGAAAGCACCGCGTACAAGCCAGTAACCACACCTCAAACAGCACGCCAATTAATTTTTCAGCGAGATTCTCAGCAATGCCACCTTAAAACAGAAACAAAGCATGTCTTTAGTGAGTATTCAATCTAAATAACATCATATATCTCCCCAAGGAGATTTCAGTTTAAGTGCGTAAAGATTCTTAAGTTCATTATTTTCATGATTTTTTGTTAAAGAGAGATTCCTGATTGCTTCCTACAGCCAATTAGCCTTTTTATAAGACCAAACATAATATACAAAGCCCAGGCATATGCATGTGTCACTAAAGGACACTGGGAATTCTCTGATCTATTGCACTCTATCTATATTAATGCCTTTTTTAAAAAAAATAGCTATAAACTGACAATATTCTTCTCAAGTACGCAGGCCAAGCAGCAAGACACACAAGGGTTTCAGTGAAACAATCAGGGAACAACACTGTCTGAAACCGTTCACCATGAACTGTTCCTGTACAGAGTCACTGTTCTGAAAAAACACATTTCGGAAAACTCAGCTCCAAATCATTCAGTATTTTCTGACAATGCTTTATTCCAGAATAGTGCAGCAGAATTAGGAGGGAGCTATTGTGCTTTGGTGGCTACTAAGAGCTTTTAACAGGTTTCCCCCCATTCCCCTGGCAGCTTAATATCAAGCAGAGCCAAAGCTTTTTCCAGTAAATGAACCAAATGGAAGTTGAACATGAACCTTGCACAGTTGGAGCTGCTAGAAGAGTGTCATTGATCTGAAGAAGAAATAATAACAAAACCTCCCAGGTTTCTCTCGCCATAATTGTGGATTCACGAGCCAGTTTCTGGACAGCTTTCAAAACCTGCAAGCACAATCTAATTTGACTAGATCCTGGGTCTGGCCTGCAAGAGAAGAAAACAGTACTTGTTGTGTACAATAATCTGAACTTTGAGCAATTACAAGAGGAAACATCAATATTATTGAACAAGAGCCAAGAATGAGCTAATATGCTTCTATACACCCTAACTGTGTCTCTAAGCACCCCAACTCTGCCTTAATGAGACCAAGGTGTACCATAATATTCTTCTCTACATGACACAGAGCTCACCGCCAGAGTGAACACCAACCCACTATCCCAAAGGAATTTATCTTAGAGCAGACAATGAGAATCTATTTGAGACATCACTAATTGTTGCATATGTCATTCAGAAGGAAAGTGGCAAGCTTAGGAGAAAACATTGTTAGCAAACTAATTTTAATTCTTCCTCGTTCTCCTCTTGCTTCCAAATGTAGCTCCAACTCTTACCCCCAATTCCTTGGATTTAGAAAAAAAAAAAATCTAGAAGAGCATCACTACATGGGAAAATTAGACTAAAGGAAGAGGTGATAAGTAAGGGAGAAAAGGAACAAGCTGATATTATCAAGGTTTTCAATCGGTTCCCCACTGTCACTGCCGAGTCACTCAACATGAAGTGTTACAGAAGCAGCACAGAGCAGCACGCTCTCTTCCCACCAGTTAGTTTGGACAAGGCAGAACTGGTACAAAATAGTAACGTGAAATGTTCTGGACAGTTTCTGAGGACACGGGTAAACAAAGCTGAGTTTAAAGGGTCAAAGAGGAGATTACAAATTAGACCGTGTAATATATGCAAGCCACATTTCTACTTGTATGCCATTTCCTCATCCCTCCTACTGCTTACAAAGGGATGACAAAAAAAAAATCATAAAAATACTACCTTCCACTGGACTACTACACTGTATTACCAGATTCCTACCAAACACTTTCAATGGGCTATAACCCCCAAGTCATGCTGCATGGTGAGCATCTCAAGAAGATGCTGATCCACTAGATAGAGATCTGCTTTTCTTAGAGAATAGTAGCTCACATTGAGATCACTTATTGACAGACACACTTTGAAAACACTGTCAACCCTTATCTTGACAGAATAAACGTATTACCGTACTGGAAACAAGATTACAAAGAGACCAGATAATATCCAATGCAAAATTGCAGACTACTAGTCACAGTTCAGGATTTCAGTGGATTGTCTGATGCTAGTACTGGAACCTAACAGATAGTCTCCGTAGAACAAAGCAGCTTGGGACAAGCAAGCCCTGCCTTGGTTATAGCCCTATTTTTTCCCTGAGCAACAACAGAGCAGATACTTTAACCAAAAGGTATCCTTAATCTTGATACACTTGAAGTTTCAAAGCCTGTTTCAAGACCCGTTTCCCTAATAATTTAGGGAATCTATAGAAAGGCTTACGCATAGGTGCTCCATATGCAAGATGACTAATGGGATACTTCTGAGCTAGTCTGGTAAAGGCAACTCTAAAGTACCCGTCCATCTACCAGTTCCTGTTACCCACAAAGTCAACCAAATGGCAAACTCTGGTTGCTGCATTTTGCAGACACATGTCTAGACTTCTACGGAATCTGCCCTTCTGGTTCCCACACTTCTTTCCACCAAGAATTGTTCTAATGATTTCCTATGAGAAGCAGGAGTTATTACAAAAAAGCATCTATTACCCTTGGACAGTCATATGTTCCACAGGCTCTCAAGCAGTTCCACACATTTTAGTTGCACAGAAGACCCTAGAATCTACATCTCAGTCTCTGGGGGAGGGGAAGCAGGGTATTTTCTTTCTGTGCTTCCAACAAGAGTTTGCGGCACTGAAACTTTATCTGAGAGCAGTAACTACCACTACTGCTTAAGTAATCTGCAAGGCTTCCTGAATATTTTAGGGCTGTTAGAGATGGAAAGCCTGGGCGTTGCTTGGGGACTGCTAGAATACGTCAAGAAAAGAAGTGTTCACTTCACCGAGGTGGACACAAGGTCAGTGCTGGAGGGAAGGATGCAAGCACCCCCTCTCTAGTCAGTCCAGCAAACAGAGGAAAGGCAAATTGACTCACCCATCTTTCTCTGTTCTTATTTTTCAGCACCACGCTATTTCTAGGACTGTGCATGTAAACATTTGGTTCAGCTGAGCACTCAAACTAGAATGATTTCCACACACCTGCTTTGTATTTGGAGTATATGTGTTCCTGAGATGCTATTTAAGTTCAACTGCTCACTTAAGGCTGCTGCATTGCACGCCTCAACTATACATCCTCCTCTGAGTCCAAAACCCTCACCACAACCCTGGGCCACCACTTTTAAGGCAGCTACATCGTTTCCAGGAAACCAGGATGAGGAAGGAAGCTATTTTAATCACAACCCTCCATAGGACATAGGCTTATAATAAAGGCTTAGTATTTTCAACACAAGAACAGTTTTCTTCCAGGAGATAGCGCAATGCAGGTTGCTACAAGAGCTACTGGGAAAGTATTCTAGAGGAGCCCATCAGCACCAGCAACCTGCATCAATTGGGTAAAACCAGTAAGTATTCTCCTCTTCCTGTACACAGACACGTAAGAATACGAGCCTTTGCTTTCACTCAAGCAAGATGTGCACAACTCAGTTTCGCATTTTATTTCCATTATGGAATGTCTTCTTGTTGCTGGTGTGAATTCTGAACACAGCTTTTGAAAGAAAAATCATAGAACAGTTATACTGGGCGGGGGGTTGGGGGGGAGCAGGGAAGTGTTTAAAATAAAGATTTTCTAGCCCTTCCTGTCTCTGGATGTTAATTATTTTGTCCAACAGCCATCACACGCAGTCTTCCACCCTGCATCAAGCTCCACCAATGAAGCTGGGAAAGAACGCTGGAGTGGCAGCTTATGCCAACAGCATGCAAGAAACACGACTACGGAACTGACGGCTTCCAGGGCCCCTGGTGCCAAAGCAGTCAAGGGATCACAGCAAGAACTATTTAATGGACTAGTGAAGAATTCATTCTCTACTGCACCAAGGGAATAAAGGTTCCCAGACAGTAGACTATTCTGCATGTATTAAAGCTTAGAGACAACCTTCTGCAGAAGTTTAATCCAGAAGCATGCTTTCCTCAGATTTGTGCCACTGCCCTGACCACCCTTTAATGGGAATTAAAATGCCTTTATCACTACAAGTTAAGAGCAATGACAACTCAGGTTAGGTGGTAGACTTTGAAGAAATCAATACACAGCAATGAACTCATCTGAACTTGTATGAGTTATTGTTCAAAGCCCTTTATTACAAAGCCTTCAGGTAAAGTTAAGTGATCGAAGCGCAGCAGAGTGCTTTGAAGGCCACCTGCAGTGATACTTTACTAATACTGATAAAAGCAGATGATCTGGTACTTACAGACATACACTAGACATAGATCTGAAGTAATCTCAGGTAGCTAACATTTTTAAGTACCGTTTCACAGGGCACCATTAAATAACCTCCTCTTACTTATCCAACACATGTGCCCAACGGCAGCAGGTAAACTCGTCACAACAAAGGATGATGTTTGAACACGCTGACCATATAAATTTGTCCAAGACCTAGAGGCACATGCACGTCAACATTATCGTCCAAGGATGTCTTAACACCAGGCTATCAGAGCAAGCACTTCCCCACAGGTTTCTTTCAAAACTACTGGCGAAAGATGGTCAGCATAATCATGTCCATTTAACAGGCAGCAAGATGCAGGCACAAAGCAGTCACCTACTGCAGGATCCTCCAGCACATCAGAAATGTGGTCAAGTCTGGAGTAAACAAAGGATGGATGATTCTACACAATACCAAGCACATGGTCACCCAGTGATGCTATTTAACCTTTCCCCTTGCCCTCCAGTCATCTAATAGAGATGGTTCTTGAAGTTCTTCGAACAGTAAATGTTTGAGTCTATAAATGATCTGTAATTCTAATTACCTAAACACAGCACCACAACTCAATTTGCTATTGAAAATTACAAAACAGGTTTGATGTGACACCTTCATCCTAACTTTGCAACGACAGCAGTCTTACTTTAATCAGGAGCCCCCACAGCTCATCAGGCGTCTTTGACAGGTTACCTGTTGACTACAGCTTCAAATTCCTGAGCCTCCCAAGTGTCCCAGCCCTAACACTCACCTTGGTACAAAGAGATTTTGGAGATGTTTGAGAATGCTTTGAGCATAAAGGTTTGGTTCCTTAATAACTGGTAAAGGAATGGAGTCCTTAGGTAACACAAGAGCCATAATCCAATCTGTATATACATCGACACAGTATTTCACAGTATCGCCATCCAGAGGGAGGGTCAGTCCATAGCAAACCACCTCCATGGTCCATTTTACCTAACCAAACACAAAGCAAAAGGTATTAAAAATAACCATTAGCAAGTAAACAATGGTCAGAGCATATTGGTTCTAACTCAACAAAATAACAGTAGTTATATGGTATGGGCAATTCTATTTAACATACAGTGCAGGAAAACACCGTCATTAATTTATGTGTCATGACATTATGAAGATTATGAATAAATGGTAAATCACAGTAAATCCTGAATCTCTTTAGTCTAACCTATAAAGAGAACTCTTCAGAACACACAGGAGCTGATGTAATGGAATATTTTCAAATTCTAGTAAATAAATACTTGTACTATACAAAGACTTTTTTTTTTTTTTTAAAGTCACATACCGTTGCTTCAGAAATTAAGGTAACTAGAAAGGCTTTTTGAGTTACCTGCCTCCACGGGGGTTTTTGGTTTGGTTTTGGTCACTTTCGCCTGAACCACCTGGTACAGTAGCTCAGATAAACACTTACCACTAGGTCATGCTATGAACTAGCTGTTAATAGAAGCCTTACGTAGATTACCAACCTAAAAATACAGCGCACTTCATAAAACTTGGACTATTAAAGACAGAAAAATAAAAAAGGCTACAGAAAATCATTAAGTTGCCACTCTAACACGAAAGAAGTTATGATCTCTAAGGAAACGCACTTACTTCTTTGTCTGTTTTTAGTAAACTCTCACTTCCAACAGATGATGTGATTAAAGCTTGTCCAAGAGGACGCACCACTGCATTTGCCACTTCTCTCCCCACGTTTTCGGGATAGCTGTGAAGTACACTGGTATTACCTTGATCATTTTGAATGACAAGATGCAAGGATCTCCACTCTGAGTACATACTGCCTCTATGCTACAATCCAAATAGCACCTGGGGGGCAAGGAAGGAAAAAAAATACATAATTAGTAGAAACGTCTATAACAAATTACCAAAACAGAGGCTGTTTGCCATGATATGCACCCTTGTAAATTCAGGATGCATGTGTCCATATCACACATTTGAAGACAAGGAAGATATTTCAACAGCTGGTTTTCAACCTTAATATGTTTGGGTTTAGTTTTTTTTATTTAATATAGCTGTAAGCTTGGTGGGTTTTTTAAAAAAAAAACCATTACAGTAAGTTTCAGTTAGGGACTAGCAGCTCATTTGAGATGCTTAAACTTGAGAAGTGATTTCACCTCACACAACTTCCGCTTGCACCATCCTTGCAGGAAAGGTCCACTTACATGACATCTTTGGCTAAACAGAGATTAGTTGAAGTATTTTGTTCATGTAATCAACAGCTCAAATTCATACCCTGTTCCCTTTTTCAGCTCAAGAGTAGTTAAAATTATATACCAGGAAACCTTCAGGAAAATCTTAGTCACCTCAGAAGACAAAAATTCAGCCTCTTTTTCATTCATTAAGTATTTCTCCTACAGCATGCACTACTCAGAACTGGTAGTTGAAAATTTGATTGACTGATGACGAAGACTGCACTTTATCTGAAGTCATTTCAGGACTGACTGAGCCTTGGTGGATCAGTAACTTAAACTCAACATCACCTTATAGTTTCATTATAACATGACATACTGGTACCAAACCAATGCCCTAACGCATTTCAAATCCTCGCAAAGTCAATACATGCACACATCCTAACCTAGATTTGTCCCTAAGATTCAGGATAGAGAAGTCACTAGAAAATTTCCCAGGTAGCACTCTCAGAACTAGACAGAAGAACCAGAGTTCTCCTTTCACCAACACTCCCAGCACAGTCACAGTTTGTGCTGAGTCCAGCTGGAGGCCTGTGACTAGCAGTGTTCCCCAGGGGTCAGTACCGGGTCCGGTCTCATTCAACATATTCATCAGTGACCTGGACGAAGGGACAGAGTGCACCCTCAGCAAGTTTGCTGATGATACTTAACTGTGAGGAGTGGCTGACACGTCAGAAGGCTGGGCTGCCGTTCAGCAAGAGCTGGACAGGCTGAAGAGCTGGGCAGAGAGGAACCAGCTGAGGTTTAACAGGGACAAGTGTAGGGTCCTGCACCTGGGGGGGAATAACCCCATACACACCAGTACAGGCTGGGGGGCGACCTGCTGGAGAGCAGCTCTGCAGAGACAGACCTGGGAGTTGTGGTGGATAACGGGATGACCCTGAGCCAGCAATGTGCCCTTGTGGCCAGGAAGGCCATTGGCATCCTGAGGTGCATGAAGAAGAGTGTGGCCAGCAGGTTGGGGGAGGGCATACTCCCCCTCTGCTCTGCCCTGGT